TGTTGAACTAGATTTGTTGCACCAAGTTCACACGTACTCCGTCTGCAGTGCATATACAGTATATGTATGCGGTGCAGAAGCAGAAATTTCTGTGCCAGTCCATGTTATTTTTTACTGCGAATAATGCGCTGTCACTTTCAGCGCGTGCAGCACAGCAGAAATAGACTCCGTGTGGAAACGATCGCAGCATGACTGCTGCAGACGCACCTCTCCTGGAGCGCACTGCCGGAGCGCAATCGCGTGCAGTGTGAACGCTCTGATCCGTTAACATGGGCGTGGAAAAAATACGCACCACAGATGGAGTGCGTGAACCTGGCGTTACGTTTGTATGCCTGCCCGGTCTGTTCTGTTCTCATGCTCCATTTAGGCATGCTGCATTCTGATTGGTTCGGATAGCATACTGCGGGCGGTTGGGGGCGCGGAAAATCGTGCTATAAAGCGATTTTATGACGATTTCGATTAATCGCACAGCCCTACTTGACGGTGACTTTAGTTTTGATCAATTTAAGGCATCCTTGCTGGATAAAATTATTTCTTAAAAACAAAACAAAAAACTTGCTAACCCCAATATTTTAAACAGTAGCTTACAAATTATGTGGATAGAATTTCTGCTACAAAGAAAAAAATACTAACTGAAATAATGCTTGTTTGCAATGTTAATGATGCTGAGATGCAGAGACAGAACAAAACAATAAGGCCCTCCTCTGCTTGCCCTTGCCTCTGCACTCAATGTCTCCATGGTGATGTGGAACCACTAGCCAATCACACGCTTCCTAAAGCCCTGCCGTCACACCCTCTCAACGACATAGAGCAAAAACGGGGGGAGAAAAAAAAATCAATGAAATGAATTGTGTATGACTGTGCAGTATCATAGAAAATTAGCAACAAACCCATTCAAAAGAGAACTGATCAAACCAAGTGCACCTCCATGAGCATGCAAACAAAGCCCTATAGATTAAAAACCTTCACATTACCAGACAATAGCCCAAACACACCAGATGATTATTTGTCTCATAACTCTTTATTCAACAACTGAGAATTGCACTGTGTTTCAGGATCTGTGTTCTGTTCCAATACATCAACTGTGCTTTGTCTAGTTGTTTCTGAATCAGGGCTCTACAGTGCGACTGAAAACTACTGCGTGCGACTATGAAAACATATTTAGGAGCACCAGTGCGAC